AAACTCCTGGCTTCAGATCAGCTCAGCTCTGGCTGGCCATTGTGGCCATGTGGGATGTGAGCCAAAGGATGCAAAATCTTTTTCTCTGTCTCTCCTTCTCGTAAATCTGCCTCCCCAATAAAAATATATAAATCTTTTTTTTTTTAAAATCATCTTGGAATCTAATATCATGGTATGTTTTTCTATTTATTTATATTTTTGCTTTCTCTTAGTTATATTTTATAGTTTTCCATATACAAGTCCTAAATTTATTTTATTAAATTTAGTCCTAAGTATTGTATCCTTTTGGATACTTTTACAAATAGAACTGTTTTCCTAATTTTATTTTGGAATTGCTTTTCATTACATGTTTTGTATATTAATTTCATAGTCTATAATATTACTAAGCACACTGATTAGCTCCAATAGATTTTAAAATGAATCCCTTAGACTTTTCTGTATATAATACAATTTTCATGTCTTTGTGAGAAATTTTATAAAATGAGTTCAGTCACTACTTGTGATAGGACTATTCATATTTCTATTTCTCCCTGATACTATTTCAGTAGTTTGCATTTTGCCTAGATCATGGGTGGGTAGTCTCTCTTAGCATACAATTCTCAGGTGGCAGACATCTTCTGGAAGCACATTAGCGTTCATTAGTGTTATTACTATGCCTCTCAGCTGTCACTGGTAGTTTTGGATTGTCATTGATCTTTGTGAGTGGTATCTTCATTCTGGTCATTTGTCTTGTTCTGTAGTTATTATAATGTCCCTAAAGGTGGATTTCTTTTTACTTCTGTCTTATCTTAACAATCTTATGTGGATTTCTTTTAAAATTTTTCTTATCTCCCAACTGATTGTTTTGTGGCATGCTGGGTAGTTGTAGACTGGATTCTCCATGTGCAGAAGCATGGTGGCAAAGATGTTTACCAGCAATCAACATGTATGAAGTGAGTGGAGAGGGTAAGATTCACATGTGGACTGAAGGAGAAATGACAAATAACCCATGGGTTTTGAAATTAGTATGAACTGTCAGCCTTTCCCCATGTAGGCTTGCACTGGCCAAGCCTTGCTGCCCCTCCTTCATTCACCTAGCACAAGTGTCCCACGAAAGTAGGTGATTTGCTGCTAAGGTGCTTTCTGCAGCTGAGACAGACCTGGACAGAGGGGGCCGCTAAAGTAGTCTGTCTGCTCATTAAACTCTATTAAGCATAACTACAATGGATACTTATTTATTTATTTATTTTTTTGGCAGTCATTATTTTTCTTTTTTATTGATTACATTGTATTACGAGACATAGTTCTATAGGTACTGGGATTCCCCCCATCCCTCCTCTAACCCTCCCTCCATGAATATTTATTTTTTAAAATCCCAGGCAAGTGCAAAGATAAAATATGCTACAGTCTTCAGAAGTAACTACCCTTTACAGGTTACTTTTAATTTTTGCTAAAAAGATGTTCTTTCAAGTTAGTCTGAACCTTAATTTGAAGTAATGATGTGACAGGAAGACGCAAACTTAACAAAGAGATGGCATAGGGCCCAGTGTGATAACCTAGTGGCTAAATCCTTGCCTTGCATGTGTTGTGATCCTATATAGGCAATAGTTCATGTTCTGGCTGTTTCGCCTCCCTTCCAGCTCACTGCTTGTGGCCTGGGAAAGCAGTAGATGGCCCAAAGCCTTGGAGCCCTGCAACAATGCAGCAGACGCGGAAGAAACGCCGGGCTTCAGATTGGCTCAGCTGATGGTGATCTGGTGGTATATAGTAAGATAGTTTACATTAAAACATGGAAAATAAACTAGTTATAAATATTTGGGCCTCTTAGGGTCATTTATGTGCAACTTTTCAAAACTGGCGGCGATTATATTTTGATTCCAGCACCTACTAGATCATCCTCAACAGAGACAGGCTTTAGCTGCACTTTTGGAAAAGCAGAGATGGATTTCTGTTCAGTGCCATCCATGTGGTTAGCCCAGAGGTCAGCCCAGTCCCAGGTGGGCCTTTCTGGAGCTGATGCTCTTCCTGGAAAGGTGTTTCTCTCTCCAGGGAGGAAGCATGCACAGCATTTTGACAGGAATTTTAAAAATGGCATTTGGTAAGTGTACTGGTTTCCCAGGGATGCTGTGAGAAGTCCCACAAACTGGGTGGCTTAGAAGCTATAGAATTTTTCCTCTCACATTTCTGCAGGTCAGAAGAATGCAACCAAAGTGTCGGCAGGGCTATGGCCCTCTGCAGTCTCCGTGGGGCTTTCCTTCCTGAAAATCCTTGTCGTTCCTTGGCTTGTGTATTATTGTCTCTAGTTCTTATTAGGACACCATTTATAGTGAACGGGGCTTATCCAATTCAGTATGACCTTATTTTAACTTGGTTACACCTGCACAAACCTATGTCCAAAGAAAGCTACATTCACAGATGCTGGGGTTATTTCAACCTATCTTTTTTTTTGGGGGGGGGGGAATGGGTGGGAGAGGGAGGGACTGGGAGGAGGTTTGCAACCCAATCTGGAAGACATGCTTGTACTCCAGGTTAAACAGAGGTCTGTCCTGTTTGTCATCGCCAGGGAGCAGAGGCTCCACCCTGGGGTGCTGGGTGCACCCATCTTCTGCAGCTTATTCACACTGCCATGGTTCCTTCTCCGCCTGCCTGCACTTGCACTGGGCTAGCCTTTGTCTGTGATTACTGTTCACACCCTGGACACTGGCCCTTGCTTCCCACGTGGAAAGGGTCAGTTCTAGAATACAGTGAGTCAGAAAGCAAGCACAGCATGTATGACTGAAGTGAATGAAATCCATGTATGTGAGGAGTCTACAAAAGTTTGTTGGAAAATGTGTATTATAAAAAAGCCAAGCAAAGCTTTCAAAAACTTCTGCATAAAAATTCTTTCAATTCCATTTTTTCTTAAACTTTTAAAAGTACCTATGTGTGTGTGTATATTCCTCTATCCTACAGCTCTTAAAAAAAAGGGTGGGGGGGGGGAGGAAACAACAAAGAAAATGAAAGCTCTCAACCTAGGGTGGTGCTATTTTCTATCTTAATTAAAAAAAACCTGCATATTCTATCTGCCTTCTGTGGAAGTAGATGTTGCTTAGACAGGCAAGAAAACATAGCTAGGGACAAACTGGCGTTGGGCTTTTTAGGCAGTTAGTCCAGTCATTTATGATGCTCAGACTTTGACTGCGTGTGAGCTGGGCCTGGTCATGCAGACAGCTGGCTGGCCTCTGCTCCAGTGTCCATGGCTCTTTCAGGACGCCTCAGCTCTGCTTCAGTGGCTGAGAGGCCCGGGGAGTGAAGAGGAAATGAATTAGTGTCTAATTGCCCTTACGATCACACATTCTTCTGTTGATCTTCCAACCCCTCAGGCACTGCCAGGGCTGCATCCTGTGGTCCCAACTCACTAGCAAAACAATCCGACCCGGCAAGCACGGAGCGCTGACTGCATGCTCACCTCCAGTCTTAGGACTTGCCACACCTGCCCATTAAGTCCAGAACAGTGGTGTTTAGCGTTCTGCACTTGATTGCCATTCTCCCCTATCACTTTAAAGTCACGTTTTAAGCCAGTGTTTGGCTTTCTGGTAGGGAGGGACACCAAGGGCAGGCTCTCCCACTGCGGTCACAGCTACCACTCAGAGTACACTGGTTGAAAGGATTCTCTTGGGGGCCTTGTTTTCCAAGCCACCGGGTTCTTTTTTATATACATATATATATTAATTACATTGTATCATGTGACACAGTTCTATATAGGCACTGGGATTCCCCCCCCCCACTCCCCCTCATGGTGGGCTCCTCCTCCCCGTCCCACCCCCCCCTCGTTGCACAACCACAGTTCAGGTTTAGTTGAGATTCCTTCATTGCAAGCATACCCCAAGCATAGAGTCCAGCATCTCATTGTCTGGTCAAGTTCAGCGGCTTCTTGGGGAGACCCTCCCCGGTCCGAAGGCAGAGCCAACAGAGTAGAATCCCGGTCAATTAAAAGCCCCAACATAACACAAGCCACCTGGTTCTACAGAAGCGACCTGGCGGGCAGGTAAGGCGCTGGCCAACCACAGGCGACGGGTGTGGCCTCAGCAGGCTGGCCAATCAGCAGGGCCATCCTTAACGCAGGCTCTCCGCCTCAGGAACCCGCCCAAATCCGCGCCACGGAGCATGCGCCGCGAGCTCGCGCCCTCTCCGGATTAGGCTGCGCTGGGTTGCCTAAGAACCGAGGGGAAAAGGAGTAAAGGCCCCAGGGATGGCTGGAAAGGACGTGTGAGGACGAATTCCTCAGACACGTGGCCGTCGCGAGCGGCGCCCTTCGCAGGTCCCGGCGCGCACTCAGGCTGGCGCATCCCCGTTCTCCCGGGCCCCGCCGAGCGGTAGCAGTCCGGCGCTCCTGCCCCGCTCGGCCGGGGGGTCCCTTAGGCCGGTTGCTGGCCCTTGGCCTCTTGCCACAGACAAGCTAACCGGGGCGCAGGTGCGCACGTCTGTGGTGAGGGTCTGCGCGCCTCTCATGTCCAGCCTCAGTCCCTATTCCCCCGCTAGCTCGTGCCTCCGGGCACCCAGTGGCGGGTTTGGGCCGAGAAACGCCACCTGCTCCAGGCCAGGTCCCGTCAGGGCAGCTCCGTCCGAGACGGCCAGGCCCCGAGTCTTTTCCGTGCTGCACAAATAAAACCAGTTTCCTGAGGAGACTTGCATGCCCATAGCGGCCCAGGGTGCATAGCAGGGGCGCAGGGCCACCGAGCCCCGACCCTGTCAGGGACCTCGGGATCGCCTCGAGCAGCCGCGGGCCGGGGGGCAGGGGAGGGGCGCAGCGTCCCAAATCCAGCTCCTGGGACCCCCCAACCCTGGGACGTACGCCCTCCGATGGCATGCGACGAAGACCCACGCCTTAGGGGCCGCGACCCAGGGCTTAGACAAGCTCGGCGGCCCGCACCTCCCCCGGGGAGCTCCCCGCGCCGACCTGCCCGGCCCGCGGTCCCGCCGCGCCGGCCCCTCCTCCGCCCGCCTGCCCGTCCGCCGCCCCGCCCCGCGCCGCGCCGGACACCCCGCCCCGAGGAGGCGGCCGCGCAGGGAGCCTGGTGGCATGGAACGGCCGCCGCTGCCGCCACACGCACTGCCGCTCCCCGCGAGCCTCGGAGCTGCGGCGAGCACGGGGGGCTGAGCACGCGGAGCGGGGCGCCCGGGGCGTGACACCGGGAGGAGGGCGCGGCCCCGGCTGCGGCGGCCGGACGCGAGGCGGGGGAAGCGGGAGCGCGTCGGCGCCGGGAGCCGCGGGAGGAGCGGGCCGGGCGCCCGGGGCGCACCTGGCGGCCGCGCGGCCCGGCCGGAGCCGGGGGGCAGCGGGAGGCGGCGGCGGCGGCGGGAGGATGTCGCAGCCGCCGCTGCTCCCCGCCTCGGCGGAGACTCGGAAGTTCACCCGGGCGCTGAGTAAGCCGGGCACGGCGGCGGAGCTGCGGCAGAGCGTGTCGGAGGTGGTGCGCGGCTCGGTGCTGCTGGTGAGTGCCGGGCGGCCGGGGTGGGAGGAGACCGGAGGGAGGGAGGCCGTTGCAGGTAGCCCCGCGCGTGCAGGTCGGGCTTTTTCAGGTCGACCCACCCTGCCGAGTACAGGGCTTTAGGAGGTGGTGGGAAGGAAGGGGAAAGGGGCTGAACTGGGCGAGAGGAAATTCTGGGCGGATCGCAGTTCCCCAGACCCCATTCTTGTCCGGGGACGCTTTGCCCGTTTCTCATGGGAAATTTCCTCGGAGATCTCCCTCTCGCTCAGTCTCCCAGCTCCCAGTTTACCCGAGTTCCGCCAAGTGGGACTTTGCTTTCCTTGCCTCCTCTTTCTCCCTGTGTACCGGAGGAGCTAGGCACCTGCAAGCAGCACGGGGCGTGGAGGTGGGGGCTTCAGCACCAGCCCCTGTTGCGGCCCCGTAGTTAGGGGGGCCTGTTGACACGTTGGGAGGAGTTGCGTTCCAAGAGGGAAGAGATCCAGCATCGTCTCCTCTGCCCTGGTCCCCAGGTCTGCGCCGTGCGGCCTGACGCCTCTTGTGAAGGTTTTGGGGGGGCCTAATAGGAACCCTTGGCCATTTCCTCACTGGGGCCGTTTGCGCTCTTGAAGCTGGCAGCGCAAGAGGAATGTGGCCGAGACAGGTTTCATCCTGGGAGATTAGGCCTTTGGGTGTGAAGAAAATGAAGTTGTAAATGAAGTTTTTCTCTGCTAGGGCCACACACCGGGCTCCCCGGGATGCTGAGGGGGAGTGGCCTCTGCAGGCTTTCTGGAAAGGGGCGTGTTTGTGGGGAGGGATGGTAATTTGTAGTGTCAGAGCCGTGCAAGAAGTTGGGCCTTGGAAGGGATTCTCTGGTGGTGGGGGCCAAGTCCCTTAACGGAGGGCAGAGATGTCATTTTGGTGGCCGGTTGATACCCCTTTTTGGTCGGATGCAGGATGACGTGAAGGATGTTTGTGGTTATTGGAGATAGAGCTTCCTTGATTTTCGTATCCAGTCTGCTCTGTTTGCATTTTCTCTTATTTGCCGGTTCTGCCAACTCCAGGTTTCTCAAACTCTGATTTGGTCTGCCATAAGCAGGGAAGTCATTGATGAGGAGTCGGAGAGCAGTTGGGAGTGGAGTAGAGCTTGGTCAGGTCCTTCAGGGCCTGCAGACTTCGGCTGTTCCGCCTGACCTCAGCTTGCTGCATCTTGCCGACACTTGCCAGTTTAGGTGTGTTAAGGAAAGGCCCGTAACCTCTGAGGCATCTTCTCTGTTCTGATGTGGAACGTGGATCTTTTAACTGCGCCCTGTTGTGCTCAAGAGAGACTTGAAGCAGAGTGAGTGAGTGCAGGCCGTTGCCTGGCCATCATTCCCACAGTGCTGACAGACCCTGGCTGACAAGCAGGCACTAGTTCATCAGCTGATTGGGTGGAGCACAGCAGTGTCATTGCAGGCAGTGTTTGCATGTCTGCCCTTCCTGTCAGGATGGCCTACTGATAATGACCTAGTGGTGTTATCTCCCTGTGTGCCATGCTTCTACTGTGTGGCATCTCAGGATGCTGCGGTGGCACATCTGTCATCCCTGGACACCCTTAAGCACATGCCTGGCTGATGTCTCAACTCCTAGTCTTGTGTGTCCATGGTCACTTGCCTGATGAAATCTGTGATGCAATGCTTTTAAAAGGCAGGTGGGCCTCCCCGACTGAGTAATACATGGGAAATGAATTACCATGCTTTTTAGTGGTAGAATATAGGCAGAGCTTGTAGACACTAAAACTTATTTGTGAGTCTTACTCCTTCACCTCCCGCCACTGTCTGCTTGTGCTCCCTGTTCTGTTGCTTGGCTTTGTTATATCAGACTCTAAGCAGAAAGTTCCAGTCCTCTGTAGAGACAGAGCAGCGCCCAGGCCAGGGTTTGGCATTGAATGATCTGTGGGTTTATGTTCGGTGGAAATATTATCTTGCTGTGTCTTTGTTAACTTGGGTCAGTGTTAATTTAATATCTACAGCATAGTAACTGCTTAAGAAATATTCTTAGTTAGTTGGGCCAGCACTGTAACCTGGGGCTAAAGTCCTTGCCTTGGCATCCCATGTGGGCACCAATTTGTATCCCAGCGGCCCCGCTTCCCATCTAGCTCCCTGCCTGTGGCCTGGGAAAGCATTTAGGACGGCCCAAAGCCTTGGGACCCTGCAGCTGTGTGGGAGACCCGGAAGAGGCTCCGGGCTCCTGGCTTTCAGATTGGCTCAGCTCCAACTGTGTGGTCACTTGAAGAGTGAATCAGCAGATGGAAGATTTTTCTGTCTCTCCTCCTCTCTGTATATCTGCCTTTCCAATAAAAATAAATAAAACTGTTTTTTAAGATTTCTTTTATTTTTATTACAAAGTCAGATATACAGAGAGAAGAGAGAGAGAGAAGTGGAACTGCCGGGATTAGAACCGGCGACCATATGGGATCCTGGTGCATTCAAGGCGAGGCCCTTAGCCACTAGGCCACGCCGCCAGGCCCTAAAATAAATAAATCTTAAAAAAAGAAAATATTCTTAATTAGCTTACTAATACAGCAATTTTGCAGATGGTTTAAGTAAAAGAATTAAAGTATGAATTTAATGAGTTCTCATGCTTCAGGTGTTAATGTGTGGAAAATTATGAGGTCAGAAGCAACAGAATTAAATAGCTCAGTGGGTAATAAAGATGACCATCAAAAACAAACTTTAAAATGTAAAAATGACACATGCTTATAAAATTTTTGTTGTTCAGTAACTTCATTTTTCACGGTCTCGGGCTTGTGGGTGGTGGTGATTTAGCATCACTTTGAAAGATTTGAAAATAAACATACAAAAAGTAGAAAAGATAGAATGAATTATCGTTATCTAGATTCAGCAGTTATCAAAATTTTGCTGAATTTGGTGCTTTCTCCTTTTTAATTTTTTTTTTGTGTGTGTGTGGTTGTGAGCCCTAGGTCTTTTATCATTTCAACCTTGTATACCTAGTGTATATTATTAAAAAGATGAAAATTTAGAAAAGATTTATTTATTTGAAAGAATCACAGAGGGAGAGGAGGACACAGAGAGAGACTGATCTTCCATCTGCGGGTTCACTTGCCAAATGGCCACAATGGTTAACTTAGGGCCAGGCCAAAGCCGGAGCCAGAAACTTCACCCAGGTCTCCCACGTGACAGGCAGGAGCCCAGACCTGTGAGCCATCGTCTGCTGCTTTCCTCAGGCCATTGGCTGGGAGCTGGAACAGAAGTGGAGCATCTGGGACAGAAACCAGTGCTTGCCCGGATGCTGGCACCACGGGGGTGCTTCACGTGCTATGTCACATTGCCTGCTCTGATGATAAAATTAATAATGTATCCGTATCTTGTTCACACTTCCCAGATTCTTAAAAAACAGAAACAAAAACAAAAACAAATCTTGTCAGTTTGTTCTAATCAGAATTTAAAAAAAAAAAGAAAGAAAGAAACTTTTGCAGTTTTCCAATAAGCCTTAGAACTGTATGGTGACATTAACTCTATTTTGTGAGCTGTGGATTTTAGTCCTAGAATTCTCGTAGTTTAGAGAATTGATTGTAGTGCCAGGTCTTACTAACTGTTCAGTTTGAGGTTTATAATCTGAGCTTGTTGGGCCTCAGTTTCCCCGTTGGTATAGTGAAGATGGTGATCAGGCTTCCCTTGCAGAGTCGTTCAGAGGATTGAATGAGCAATTAGCAGTTGAGTCCTGCCCCGGTAAATAAGGGGTTGCACTGAATTATTTTGAAGCATGAATTTAGTATAATGAACAGTAGAGATACTGCTAGTAATATTAGTAACCGTAGGGAAGAATAATTGGCGATTTTTCTGATAAAAAAGACCCTCACAGTTTCAGAGTTGGCTTCCTGTGACTTAGAATCATCAGAAGGGCAGCCTGTTCAAAATGTATGCAAGCTGAGAAGAAAAGAAGCTAGAAGTCCTTCCCTGAGCAGAGTCAAGTGGTGATTGCTTTGGCACTCCTGAGGGAACTTTACTTTGGGACTTTCAGATCTATTAAAGTCAGAATGGAATGGCCTAGATGTAACAGTACCTACCACCCAGGGCCTAAAAATACCCTTTCTCTGAAAGATTTCTATAAATTCGGTGACACTTCCCTTTGCATGGGTTTCTTGGCTATCTAGCACTTGCATATTAATATCTAAGTCATCTGGCCGCCTGGCTTCCTTACTGATCTTATCCTGGTACGCTCAGCTTTACCCTCTCCTTCGATGTCAAGCCCTTGCCAACAATGACACCGTGCCGCACCCCTTTGAGATCTAGCCCTGCTGCATTTTCCTTTGTGTTACTGGAGGAGGTGGGGCAGAAGGCAAGGGATGATAACACCGGAGCCCCTCACCCACTCTGTTCAGTCAGCTCAGGATTCCAGTGTTATCTCAAGTAATGTGAGAGCCCAGTGGTGGTGAAATCCTCAGGTAAGGGCCACCATCACTTTGGCTGTGTTTTAGATCAGATATGTTAGTGAGCCGACAACTGAGCTGGCATGCAGCTCACCTCACTGTGTGTCTCCACCCGCTGGTGGAGTCCTAACAAACAGAAATGTACCCAAATACAGGAAGCAGGGTGGAGGCTCATCTCCAACCAGATAATCAACCCCAGGTTCAATTTCTTTGTGTTCTATTCCACTTGCCTCTTAGGAAACACGAGGACATTAGTAATGCCTTGAATTTGAACAGGGAGGGAAGGTATTGCGAAATCTTCATCCTTACTTACAGTGGGCCTGCTCTGAGTTAGAATTTTCTTCTGGGTGCAGCGAATGTGTTGTATCAGCATGAAGGTTTTATGATCTAAAGGTTTTTGATCAGCTGTCTCTGAAAAGTTGGATAATACTACAGAGGGGCACCGTTGAAAAAAGTCAAAGGTGTGGGGCTGCCTGGTGGTGTGGTAGGCTAAGCTGCCGCCTTCAACATGAACATATGGGCACCGGTTCCTGTCCCGGCTGCTTCACTTCCAGTCCTGCTCCCTGCTTATGGCCTGGGAAGGCAATGGAGGATG